TGAGGTGGGGCTGTGCGCGGAGATACTGTAGAGATCGATGGTCTGTCCGTACTGTCACGTCTGCGCCGGTCAAGTAGCAGCGCCATACTTTGAACGCGTGCACGATCGCAAGCATTTCGCGGTCGTGTATCGGGTAATTTCGCTCAGGCGGATGTAGTTTGCGTGATTCGTAGGCGATGGGTTGGAGGCTGTCGCCGAAGTCCTGTAATAGTACAGCTCCGATGGCGATGTCACTTGCGTCGGTAACCACTTCGAAAGGGCGGTGGGGATCAGCGATGCGTAGAACGGGTGGTGAACAGAGAACGTTTTTCAGGGCAGAGAAGGCAGCATGCTCTTTCTCCCCCCACGTAAAAGCGACCCCCTTACGCAGTAAATCAGTGAGTGGGGCTGTTAAACGTGCCATGTCGGGCACGAACCGTCGAACGTAATTAACAAAACCTAAAAAACTCTGCAGTTCCGTGATGTTCGTCGGGGGGCGCCACGCTTTTACCGTGTCCAGCTTCTTTGGGTCAATCTCAACCCCAGCCTTCGAAATGACGTGACCCAAAAACTCTAGCCTGTCCCGAAAAAACTCGCACTTGCCCTTGGTGAGTAGTCGATGTTCCTCCAAAATTTTAAAAACTGCTTCAAGATCCACTAAGTGCTGCTGCTTATCCCGGCTGTAAACTAGAATATCGTCCAGGTAAACTATCACGCATTTATCTAAAAGTGGTCTAAACGCCTCGTTCATGGTCATCTGAAATGTCGCGGGCGCGTTCGTCAGCCCGAATGGCATTACTGTATACTCGAATGACCCGTGCCTAGTCCTAAATGCTGTTTTGGCGCAGTCCGATGGTTCGACCCGAATCTGATGGTAACCTCCCCGTAAATCTATTTTGGAAAAGACTCGTGCTGTTCGCAGTTGGTCGATCAGTTCGTCGGCGCGGGGGATGGGGTATCGCGATTTGACTGTTACCCTGTTAAGCGCTCGGTAGTCGATGCACATGCGGAACCCTCCGTCTTTTTTCTGTGTGAACAGTATCGGTGCGGCGAACGGTGACGAACTCGGACGGATAAACTGCTTCTCTAACAGGTAATCTAACTGCTTCCTTAACTCGTCGAGCTCGGGCTGTGTCAGTCGAAATTGCCGCTGTACACTTGGCTGTGCCCCCGGTTCTAACTCGATCCTATGGTCGTGCGCCCGCTGAGGTGGCAGTCCCTGTGGTAAATCATCCGGAAATATCCCCGGGAACTGTTTCAGTAGTGCCTGTAGTTCGGTCGGTACAGTTGCCAGCAGTTTCTCCAAATCACTCGGCTGCTCATATTTTTCTACGAGTGCGATATCCACTGCGTACACGTCAGCTCCAGCAGCGACAGCCCGTTTCATCGTGATGGCGTTGACCTGGACCGTCGAAGATTTGGGTGTCTGCCAGCGAGGTAGAACGACCCAATTACCACTACTTCGCACTGTGCAGCTCCCCGTCGTCCAGTCGATCCGTGGGTTGTACCGTCACAGCCAATCACGTCCCAATAAAATGTCGTGCCCATCCAGTGTCGTCGCGAGCATTTCCTGTGTAAACCCGAAGTTCCCCCCGCAGCGGACTTTTACGCGCTCCACCTTTTCCCGTATGGCCAGGGGCGTGCCGTCGACTAAGCGTGCATCTATCTCAGGTAAACATCGGTTAAGCGTTAACTGTAATTTTCGTGCGGTTGCGGTATTAACTAAGCTGTGGCTCGCTCCTCCGTCCATGAAGATCTTCACTGCTGCTCCCTGTATTTTCCCGTAGATCAGTACCGGGCAATCCGTCGCTGTACCCTCCTTATTCATCCGAGCCCGATCGATGGCGTGAATCGGTACTGTGACTCGGTGAGGGTCGGTGTGGTTGGGCGAGCAGGCAGTCTCGTCAGTAGTTGGCCCAACTTCTACTGACTGCTGGCGTTTCCCTGCCTCTGAGACTCCCTCCCCTGCTCTGCTCCTCGACGCCTCAGCTCCTCTGGACATTCGCTCTTGCGATGGCCCAGCCGGTTGCAAGCAAAGCAGCGCCCTCTAAACGGCGCGGCAGCTGCATTCGCTGCGACGGCATGTACCGTGGCGTGCTCGGTCGGTCCCCGAGGACGATGTCCGTAATAGTCGGCGTAGGATATCGATTTTCTCGGCGAGCGCGAGGATCTCGTTGAAATTCGAGAGCCCGCGTAGCATTATCTCGTGCGAGATGTCCGGCTTCAGCCCTCCGACGTAACGGTCCACCCGCTCTGCCTCGTGCATGTAGCCGACATGTTCGCAAAGTGCGAGAAAACCGCTGGTGTAGTCTTGAACTGACCCGAGCTGGCGCCAAGTGCGCAGTTTCTGACGCGCCGAAATCGAGGCCGCGATCGGCTCAAAGCGCGCCCGAAGCCCTGCGCACCACGCATCCCACGTGCTGTATTGGGCGGTTTCGCAGAACGAACTCCAGGTAACAGATGGACCCGAGGGCCCTTCCTCGTGCGACGGTGGCTCGTAGGCGCGCGGCGACGTCACAATGACTCGCCACCAGTCCATGGCGGGGCCCCTGAGTAGTGAAACCGCATACCGGATCTTGGCGGCGTCCGACTCGACGTAGTTGGCGTCGAAAAAACACATTCATCGTGAAGACCCACGATTGAACTGTCGGGCCGCCGCGTTGGCTTGGGTCGAAGCAGGGCGGGCGTTGCGGCTTGAGTGGCATTGGGGCCATCATGGCATTCTCGCCACTTGTCGCCGCAAACTCCACGTGCCGACGGGCTTCTCGGGGCTCCTGTGGGCTTAATACGCTCCTGTTCCCTCCCATGCCGGGCATCGGTTGGGCTGCGCCGTCACTGGCTGCGCCTGAGCGCTGTCCCGTGCTGTTGTGTTGCGTTGGTGTGCCGGATGAGATGACGATGGGCTCCTCCAAATGTGCAGATGCATTGGTTTGTGCGTGTGATGTCGTCGGTACGTTCACCGTTGACTGTTGACGGGCGGAGTCACGTTCCGCCGTGAGAGTCGCGATTTCGAGCGCCGAATCTTCCAATTGACGCACGAGACGATCGAGTTGCTCCTGCGTCAACGTGGCGAGATTGAAATCGGCCATGGCGGGGGTGTCGGGCAAGCTCAGCGAGAGCCTCGGTCGTGGCCGTGCGTGCTTTCGAGAGAGCACTACGAGCGGCGGTGCTGTGTCGCTGAGAGACGTCTACCCCCCCCAAAAATTGAGATAGTGGGAAGCAAGGTGTGGATGCGGTCCGAGATGAGATCGTAGGCTCTGAATACCAAGTGTTACGAGTGCAATTGAGTGAACGAACGAGAATTGCACTATCGAAGCAAGAATACAATGAGCGAAGGCATGAGCGAAGGATTATATAGCGAAACTACAGTGGTAACGGTAATGGACTGTGGTTGTCGCGCGACGGGCCTGGGACTGAGGTTGGGAAAAGTGTCGAGGCGGAGGTCCGGAGCGCGGGTTACCGCCGAGCCGTGAGGTCGGGGTGCGACATGCGAAAAATGGCGGGCGGATTATTGATGCGAGTGGTAACGGTGCTGACTGAGGTGCTACAGTGATGTACGCGTTGAGCGGGGATGCGAAGTAAGGAAAAGGAATTTTCCTTACAAGATTACTAGAAACACATCTGCAAAACTGAATGACAATATACGAGGGTCTGAGAAATATAAAATCATTTTGCAGCGTCACTCAACAACAAACCAACGGTTTTCAAAACAGCAAACGCAAGCTACGCAACCCTTCCGACGTTAACGTCGAGTCTTGTTCTAGGTTGACTGATGATGCTGTTTCACTCTGGAGGTGACTGGAAAGCGCTCGCTACCTTCGCTGAATAGTAAAGATAATAGGAAAGGCTGACAATTCGATTGTGAGCTGTTGCTGACTTTAGGCCGGAATGGCAATTTATGTTCGAGAGTTGACAATGTGGTACAGTAGTTAGATACTCTTGAGTCGCGGTCCTGTACGGTCCTGCCCGCCTGATTCCGCGGCATGGTTCAACCTGACAGTTACTAAAAGCTGTGTGACTTCAAGCATATGCTGGGCTTAGGATAATACTATGCGATTCGAGGCAACCAGCAATAAGATTGGAATCACTTATGAATGACGAAAAGCTATTAGGTGTACCAGTCATCAGTTACGAACGAAGTTAGCATCGAGTCGCTTCTTAAAGCGCCTAGAATTTTGACACAACCACCACCCGCCAGCCCTAGTATCACTCTTGTTTAGGCGCTCGAAGCGCGCGAGGCGTAGGGGGCTTGTTTTGTCGCTTTTACGCCATCACTTCTAGTAGTAGGCCGCCCGTCGCCACTTAAGCGATGTTTAAGTTTATTAGTAACGGCTTTTCTAGCCCACGCGGGAAGACTAGTAGCGGTTTTTCCAGCCCACGCGGAAAGCCTAAGGGTTCGCGACTATCCGGTTTCGATGGTTCTGGCGGTTCTGGCCTCATAGCTTTCTCTTATAAGGAGCTATCGGCGGCTACTAATAAGTTCCAATCGAGCCGCGTTTTGGGGGAAGGAAGCTTTGGAAAAGTTTACCGGGGGAAGTTGTCTGGATTAGGAGCTGAAGATTGGCAGGATAGTAACGGGGATGACAGTAAAGCAAATGTTACTAACGCGGCTGATGATAAGGGGGATGGTGGCAAAGCGAAAGGCAGTAAAGCGGATAGTAAGATGGAGGTGGCGATTAAAGTGCTTCACGAGGAGAGCGTTCAAGGAATGACAGAGTGGATGGTGAGTGTCTCGAAGGGCTAGTAACGGGGATGATTCATAGTGAATGTCGTTGGTCAGACGAAGAAATTTAAGTCTGCAGTGAACCTCGTTTGGGATCTTTTCCCTTCCCCTTCCGATGTATCACTTGTTAGGCCGCAGGCCGAAATTCTGCTGCTGGGGAGGCTGAACGCCCGAATTTGGTTTTTGAGGCGCCTCAAAAGCTGCTGGGGAGGCTGAACGCCCGAATTTGGTGAATTTGATCGGAAACTTTGTCCCTTATCGTGCTCCCGTTATATGATGTGATTTTGTTACCTCGCAGGCCGAGCTTCTGCTGCTGGGAAGGCTGAAACACCCCAACTTGGTGAATCTGATCGGATACTGTTCCCAGAAGAACCAGGCGATGCTGGTGTATGCACTGATGCCGCATGGGGGGCTGGATACATGGTTACTGCAAGGTGTGCAGGGCACAGACACAAACACACACGCACACACGCACACGCGCTCACACGCACATAGGCATATGTGGTTGCTCTCAGAAGAACCAGGCGATGCTGGTGTATGCACTGATGCCGCATGGGGGGCTGGACACATGGTTACTGCAAGGTGAGGCATGCTGCATGCCCACACACACACGCACACGCGCTCACACGCACATAGGCAGATGTGGTTGCTCGCAGGAGAACCAGGCGATGCTGGTGTATGCGCTGATGCCGCATGGGGCTGGCTGGATACATGGCGCATGCAAGGTGGGGCACGCATCATGCACATGCACTCACCCACACGTGCATTCCTGTCCCCCACCCACCCTATCTCCTCCTTTCTTACCACCCTACCATCTCCTCCCTTTCCCCCACTCTCCCACCTCCCCTCCCCTCACCTCACGATCTCCGTTGTCCTTCTCCCTCCCCCCTTTTGCCCGCCCTCCCACTCAACCCCCGATCCTCTCATTCCCCCTCTCCCCAGCTCCTCACCCCACCTCTCATTCTCTCTCACACAACCTCTAGTCTTCCCTCCCCCCCATCCTCGCATCTTTTCTCTCTCCTCTCATCCACCCTCATCCTCCTATCAACCCCCGCCACGTCACAGACTCGCCCCGCCCTGTGCTGACGTGGCAGCAGAGAATACGGATCGCTGTGGGGGCAGCACAGGGCCTGGCTTACCTGCACGGTTCAAACATCATTCACCGGGATCTCAAGTCGTGCAATATCCTCTTAGACCAGGTGAGAATACCTGAAGTGCTTGACAGTAAGCATGAGATGAGATTGGGTAGTTACTGGAGCCAGTTGGGGGCAGGGGGCAGCACAGGGCCTGGCATATCTGCACAGGTCGAACATCATTCACCGAGACCTCAAGTTGTGCAATATTTTGTTAGACCAGGTACGCCTACTCAGTTGGGTGGGTATTGGAAATGTGTGTGCTGCTGGGAGCAGCTGGGATCAGCAGAGAACAGCAGAGGATTCAGATCGCTGTGGGGGCACCACAGGGCCTGGCGTATCTGCACGGGGCGACCATCATTCACCGGGACCTCAAGTCGTGCAACATCTTCTTGGATCAGGTGAGACTACCTGACGTGCTTGACAGTAAGCATGAGACTGGGTGGTACTGGGGGCAGCTGGTGGTAGCAGTGCAGCAGCACAGAGCCTGGCGTATTTACACTGGGCGACCATCATTCACCGGGACCTCAAGTCGTGCAACATGTTGTTGGACCAGGTATGCCTACTTGATCTGGTGGGTAGTGGGAGTGTGTGTGTTGCGGGGGGCAGCTGGGGTCAGCAGAGGGCAGCAGAGGATCTCAAGTCGTGACTTTTGGGTCGACTCAAAAGTCACCTCAGAGGGCAGCAGGGGATCTCATATTGCCTTCCTGGGCTGTCCGAACTTCGAAGTAGGGACAGCGAAAATTGCACTTCGCACGTGCAGGTGAGTAGTCATTGTGATGAGGTGGAAGGCAACGAATCTGGACATCGAGTGAGTTCACAGACCCTGAACGTGCGAAGACCCCCCACGATGAGACCCTTTGACGTGTGGCGAGAATCTGTTGAGGGTTTAGGGTTGCGAATGCTGACTGTAAATTGAGTCGCGCATGCAAATCTGATTGGGCGTTAGGTTTCGCATACTCCTAACGATCACACACATTAGAATCGGCTTGCACATGGGGTAGACGTGGAAGCTGCCAGGGTGGACAAAAAATTCTGCACTTTTGGGGCTGTCCATGTCCAGACTTCGCAGGAAGTCCATCTCAACTCGTGACTTTTGGGTCGACTCAAAAGTCACCTCAGAGGGCAGCAGAGGATCTCAACTCGTGACTTTTGGGTCGACTCAAAAGTCACCTCAGAGGGCAGCAGAGGATCTCAAGTCGTGCAACATCCTGCTGGATGGATCAGGTGCACCATCTTGATCGAGACATCTCATGTTCAATCAACACTCGATTTTTTAGGCGCCTCAAAAATCGCAAGTCGTGCAACATCCTGCTGGATCAGGTGCGCCAACTTGATCAAGACGTTTCATGTTCAATCAGCACTCCCATCCCTCTACCCTCCTCCCTCCCTTCCTGCCTCCCTTCCGTTTCCCCTTCCCGCTGTGCATCCATGCCAGACTGAAAGACTTCTGGCTGTCAGCATGTGCTTTCCTTCCCTATCTTCCATGTCCCTCTCTCCTAACCCCTCTCCTTCCTCCTCCCCTAGCTTGACAAGCTTCCCTTTCTCCCATGGCCCCCACTCTACCCTCCACCCCCCTCCCAACCAACCCCCCTTCAGCACATGCGCGCCAGGCTGACAGACTTTGGAATGGCGAGGGCTGGCCCAGAGGAGGGGAAGACGCATGTTTCCACTCAAATAAAGGGGACATTGGGGTATTTAGACCCCGAATACATGGACACTGGTATGTCAACAGAAGGACGCAGAGGCCTCAAGGGTTGGGGCATAAGGGAGTGTTGAGGCAATAAGGGTTGTGGTGTAAGGGAGTGAGCACTGGTGTTTGTTTTGTGGTTTGTTCAGCACAAGTGAATTGAGTGATTTTTGTGGGTCTTGCTAAGCCGTAGTTTTCTCTTCTCCGTTTCTCCTCTCCTCTGCTCCAGTCACCTGCATATGACAGCGCAACCTACTCCCCCCCTCGTTAGACCACATTGCTCATACCAGTGACATTCACCAGTCCTATCAAAATTTGACTTCACACTTACCAGTGACATATTTCACTCCTCTTTTCACCCCCTCATCCCCCCGTCTTCAGGCCACCTGGCTCCCACCAGTGACGTTTATTCCTTTGGAATTATCCTGTTAGAGCTACTAACCGGCCGGCCTCCATTCGAACCCGAATCATCCACTTACCTTGTCTTCTCTCCACCCTCTCCCTTTCTCCCATCCCTCCCTCGCCAGGCCACCTCGTTCCCACCAGTGACGTTTATTCCTTTGGAATAATCCTGCTTGAGCTACTAACAGGCCGGCCTCCATTTGAACCCGAATCTTGAGCGCCTTACAAGTAATCTCATTTCTCAACCCCCCACCCTCTCTCTTCCCTCTCTTCTCCCCCTCTTCAGGCGACCTCGCCCCCACCAGTGACGTTTATTCCTTTGGAATAATCCTGCTAGAGCTACTAACCCGCCGACCTCCATTCGAACCCGAATTGTCCGCTTACCTTGTCTTCTCTCCACCCTCTCCCTTTCTCTCATCTCCCCCTCTTCAGGCCACCTCGCCCCCACCAGTGACATTTATTCCTTTGGAATAATCCTGCTAGAGCTACTAACCCGCCGACCTCCATTCGAACCCGAATCGTCCACTTACCTTGCCTCTTCCACACCCATTCTTGTGCCGAAGCCGAATCTTCCACTTACCTTGTCTTGCCTCTTCCTCTCTCCCCCTTCCCCACCCTCTCTCTTCCCTCTCATCTCATCTCCCCCTCTTCAGGCCACCTCACTCCCACCAGTGACATTTATTCCTTCGGAATAATCCTGCTTGAGCTACTAACCGGCCGGCCTCCATTCGAACCCGAATCTTCCACTTACCTGGTCTACCAAATCCGACCCTACTTTGACAACCCTGAGCTGAGCCTAGACAAGTTCATGGATCCGAGGCTGGAAGGCAGGTTCGGGAGGAAGTCAGCAATAGGGTTGGTGGTTCTGGCGAAGCATTGCCTGAATGATAAAAGGAACAAGAGGCCTGAAGCGAGTGTGCTTGTAGAGAGGCTCAAGGACCTGGAGAAGGTTGTAACAAGTGAGTGTACAGAGGGTGATGATGCTAGTGGAAAGGCAGCAAATTAGTAAATCCATGCCTTGCGTCGAAGAATGTACGGGTTATGAGCAATTTACTCGTTCATAGCAGAATGATGCACATTTTAAGTTTTAGCATATGAAAACAATGTTTTGGTTGGCTTCTTCTGTACAGTTGTTACCTTGGTACACTTTCCCTGCAGTTGGTTCACTTAGTAAATTTTATCCCCATTATAATAATTACTCCCTCCACTCCACTTCCAAAACCAAAAGGTGCACAATGGTGCATACAGAAAGTTGCGCTAAGCAACAGCAGCAGTAGCAGAAAGCAGCACGCTTCAGCATTTGAAAGGAATCAAAAGCAGGGGTACGGACTCTGCACAAGGCTCGCTTCGCTAGTCATCAAGAAACATGTTCAAAACATGTACCTGAATGAAAACGAGCCCCCTTGAACATATCCGTTGTCTAGGAATCCAACGCACTTGGTGAAATACCGGTATAAAACAAAACAGGGGAATTGAAATGAAGGGGCGAAGATCGGATGTTGGGGGGGAGGTGAGATATAAACTGGAAATACTTGGCATGGGAGGCGGGGGTATTGGTGGTGGTGATGGATTATGTTCGGGTGGCATGGGATGATCGGAAGTGGTAACCTGGTAACCATGTAGCCTGATAGTGATGGTTGGTGTTATGGCGGTGATCATGGCGTGCAGTGGTGGTGGGATGGTGATCATGGTTGGTCGGATCAGATGCCTCAACCTCGACCTTCATGAGAAGGAAGGCCAGCTCAAACACTTATGCCTCCCTCCCAAAACCTTTATGTAGTCTCACATACAGCCTCCCTCCCCAAAGACTGCATCCATTTGCACAGCAGCAGCACTCGAGCGAGTCTATTGTGAGGCGCCTCAGAAATGGACGTACCGTGCCCGAGTGAGCACTGAGCACTGAGTCTATTGTGAGGCGCCTCAAAAACCACCAGAAATGGACGTGCTTCCAATTGAGCACTGCCGAAGAATCAAATCACACTCGACGTTCCGAAACCGGTAGTTGCCAAGCTGCCACGTAACAACAGGTCTTGCATGCAGAATCAAATCAGAACGCCAGGAGCATTGCAGATGAGATGAACAAATCGGCGTCCCGGTATGGTATTTAACAAATGCGAACCCTGGCATTCTGATACTTCGCAAGTACCGCTCTCCACCGCACTGCTTCTTGACTGAACCGCTACACCAGTCAGAGTTTTGATGCTTGGCAGCCGGGACTGCAACCCGCACTGCCTCATGACTGGACTCAGAAATCAGTTGGAGTTGCGATACTTGGCAGGTACTGGAACGGCTTCAGGAGACTTGGAGTCAAACTGAACAGCATCGTCGAATGAGCGGAGCGAGGAGGGGTTGGTGGCGCTGCCGTTGGTAGCCGGGGTGTTGAGTGCTTCTACTGCCTCCCGCAGGTTGGCCGCTGCTGCTATAATCTCCTCCTCCTCCTGCAAATTCAACGAGTAAGGCACGGAACAAGGGAGAGAACATCGTTAGGAGATTTGGAATCAAACTGAACAGCATCGCCGACAAGCGGAGCGAGGAGGGGTTGGTGGCGCTGCTGTTGGTTGCCGGGGTGTTGAGTGCTTCCACTGCTTCTCGGAAATTTGCTGCTGCTGCTATAATCTCCTGCTCCTCCTGCAAATCCATTGGGGAAGGCACAGCACAAGAGAGAGAACATCGTTTGGGGACTTGGAGTCGAACTGAACAGCATCGTTGAAAGAGCGGAGCGAGGAGGGGTTGGTGGCGCTGCCGTTGGTTGCTGGGGTGTTGAGCGCTTCCACTGCCTCCCGCAGGTTGGCTGCTGCTGCGATGATCTCCTCCTCCTCTTAAAGTCAATTGAGTGAGGGGAAGAACAAGGGGAAACAAGGGGAAACAAGGGGAAATATTAGGATGAGGGGCTGGAGGCGCTGCCATTGGTTGCCGGGGTGTTGAGTGCTTCAACTGCTTCTCGGAGGTTGGCTGCTGCTGCTATGATCTCCTGCTCCTCCTGGAGGCTGATAGAGGTGTGAATTGTTTTGGGGGTGGAGAAAAAAAGTGAGATGTAGGCGCATCAGCAGCAGCAGCAGCAGCCTGGGCGTTGAGTTGCCTCCACTGCTTCTCTGAAACTGGTTGCTGCTGCAATGATGTATCTCCTGCTCCTCGTGGAAGAAGAGATGATGGGAAGAGTTGAAGTGAGATGAAGAAGAGCTGACTACAGTAGCTGATAGCCACATGTAGCGAGGTTGTTATGAGGCGTCTCAAAGACAATGGAAGAAGAGACGATGGGAAGAGTTGAAGTGAGATGAAGAAGAGCAGACTACTACAGTAGCTGATATGGCCCACCAGTTTCGCCCTACATCTTAGCAGTCACGCCCTGCCCCTGTCACACCCTGTCCCAGTCACGCCCTGCCCCTGTCACACCCTGTCCCAGTCTCGCCCTGCCCCAAGCAGCTGACACCCCCACCTCAACAACCCAGCGAATCACACTATCAGTTTCCTCCTTTCACTTAAAGAATCCACCCTCTCACCTTATCAGGAACAGCGGATGCAGCCGACTTGGCAGTGACGCTCTGCCCCAGGCGGGCGACCGAGTCCTGAAGCCTGCTGGGGGAGGGGAGGACGTGGGGGGAGAGAAAGAGCAGGAGGGGTGCATTTGCACATTCTCCACTTGCCTCCAGTTCACCCCTCGCGCACTGCACTCAAGCACAGCCCCTTGCACCGCAGCAGACTGACGCTCTGCCCCAGGGTATGGCTTTGAGAATTCTCAAAAAACATATGCCCCAGGTGGGCCACCTGATCCTGAAGCCTGCTGGGGGGGGGGAGGACAACGGGGGGTGGGGAGGACGGGGGGTGGGGAGGACGGGGGGTGGGGAGGATGGAAGGAAGGGGGGAAGAGGAAGCGAGAGCACATTTGCTCATTATCCATGCCTGTTGTCATGCCCTGCCATAGGGGGCCCACCTGATCCTGAAGCTCGCTGGGGGAAGTGAAGAAATAGGGGGAGGGGCGGAGAGGAGGAAAGGAGGGGGGGGGGGAGGAAGGGGTGGATTTGCATGCATTACTCAGTCAACTCAAGTCAACCCAAGTCAACTTGAGGTCCTCCCATGCTACTGCGCTGCAGCGTGCTGGTCAGTCATGGTCGGCCCCAGGCGGGCGAGCGACCTGATCCTGAAGCCTACTGGGGGAGATAGAGAGAGGAGGGATTTGGGAAGGAAGGGGAGGGGGAATGGGAGGAGGAAGGGGAGGGGGAATGGGAGGAGGAAGGGGAGGGGGAATGGGAGGACGAAGGGGAGGGCGGAATTGCATGCATTACTCAGTCACACTCTGCATTACTGCAGCTCCTTGGCTCCCTTAGACAAGTCCACCTCCATCTTTGTCGCGGCGGCACCAACACCCCAGCAGCACTCCCCCCAACTGCCCGTGCACACCCCAGCAGCACTCAACTGCCCGTGCACACCCCACAAGTGTAACCTCTCCTTCTCAAATGCTCCTCTCTCACACGTCTCTCCCACTCTCTCACCTGCTGTGAAGCTCTTTCGCTCCCTTAGACAAGTCAACCACCATCTTAGTCGCAGCGGCACCAACGCCCATCCCCACGCCTCCTCTCTCAAATGGCTGTTTGTATCAATGCATGGAAAAACACTCGCTTCCCCTCCCTCTCGCCCTCTCTCACCTGCTGTGAAGCTCCTTAGCTCCCTTAGACAAGTCAACCACCATCTTAGTAGCAGCAGCACCAACGCCCATCCCCACACCTCCCACCATAGCCTCTTTCTCCTTCAACTCAACCTCCAGCTTTGTAACCTTCCCAGAAAGTTCCCCAAGCTCCACCCGAGCCTTCATGAGAGCCTTCGCCTCCACCTTCTCCTTTTCCCGGGCAGCCGACAGCTGCACAAACAGGTCCGAAATCTTTTCATCTGCCCGCCCCAGCAGCACCTTCGCCTCCTTCTCCTTCGCCTGCAACTGCCCAACCCTCCCCTCCAGCTTCGACACGTTCTCCGAAGCTGCCTCAGCCTCAGCCCGAGCCTCCGCGAGCTGCTTCTGGAGCTTCTCAACAGCCGCCTCCATAATAGCTTCTGCGTTAGAAGCAACAGGACTAGAAGCACCACTCTTCTTCTGCTCAGCCGAAACTGCCTCGGCAACAGCAGCATCCAGTTTCTGCTGCTGGCGGGACTTAATCAACTCCATCTGGCGCAGCAGGAAGGAGGAGCGCTCGCTTGCAGCCTCGGCCGTCTGCTTCGCCGCTGCCAGCTCGGATTGAAGCACGTCCACCTGTGCTCGCATTATCACGATTGCCCCCTCGACCTGCTCCGCTGCCTTGGACTGTCAAGGGTGGAGAAAAAGAAACAGAAGAAGGGGGACAGAGCAACAGGGACAAGAGGGAGGAGTGAGAATTGGGCTGCAGCTGCTGGCGAGACTTAGTCAATTCCATTTGACGAAGGAGGAAGGAGGAGCGCTCGCTTGCAGTCTCGGCCGTCTGCTTTGCCGCTGCCAGCTCGGATTGAAGCACGTCCACCTGTGCTCGCATTATCACGATTGCTCCCTCCACCTGCTCTGCTGCCTTGGACTGTGCAGGGAGAAGAGGCAGGAAGAGAGGAGAAGCCAGAGAGAAAGATACGGAGGGGCGGAGCAAGGGAGAGAGGGAGAGCGAGAGATGAGTGGAGGGGACATGCACTACCACCCCCTCCCTCCTCCCTCCCCACTCTCACCTGAGCAGCGACGCTGTCGAGTTTCTGCATCAGCACCCCAACCTCCCGCCGCGCCTCCTCCTCGCTCTTCTTCACTCTCTCCACCTGCACCACCAGCCCCTCCTTCTCCCTCTCCGCCGCCCGCACTCTCTCCCTCGCCTCCCTCTCCCTCTCCTTCCCCTCCGCCAGCTGTCGCTCCAGGAAGCGCATCCTCTCCCCGGCTGTAGCGCGCTCGGCTGTAGCGTCAGACAGGCGGGCTGTGAGCGTGCTGACGAGGGCTGTGAGGTATGCCTCGTTGTTGATGGCTGCCTGTAGCGCTGCTTTAGCCATCTGATGATTCGACGAGGGGAGCAGGGGGGCACATGGGCAGGAGAGCAGGCGGGCTGTGAGCGTGCTGACGAGAGCCGTGAGGTAGGCTTCGTTGTTGATCGCTGCCTGTCGCACCGCCTTGGCCATCTGATAATTCGAGGAGCACTACGCCCCTATTCCCGCCCCCCTCACCTCCCCCTCAATCCCCTTACCATGGGGCTGTCTGCAGCAGCCAGCGCCACCTCTGCCGCCTCCCTCCCCCACACAGCCCCCCCCTGCATCCTCTTGACCGCGCCCAGCTTCATTATCACCCTCCCCCACTCCCATTCTGCCCGTTTCTGACCCATTCTCCCCCCCCTATTGCTCACCATGGGCATGGGGCTGTTAGCAGCAGCCAGCGCCAGTTCAGCCGCCTCCCTCGCCCTGCATCCTCCTAGCCGCGCCCAGCTCCTTACTCCCCCTTATTCCCTCTCACTCACCCAGTCTACTCCATCTCCCACCCCTATTCCCACCCCATCCCCCCCTAACCCCCCTAATTCCACTCACCATGGGGCTGTCAGCAGCAGCCAGAGCCAGTTCAGCCGCCTCTCTCTCCCTCACAGCCTCGCCCTGCATCCGCTTAGCCGCGCCCAGCTCCGCCACGACCTTCTCTGCGCGCGCTACAGCCTCCTTCCAAGAAGCTCGCAGGCTCGCCTCCCGTTCCTTTGCTGCTGCTAGCTCAGCCTTCACCCCTGCCAGACACACAGGTCGCACACAGGACACAGGAGAGCAAGGGGAACCGTGTGTGAGTTGGGACTGGACGCGCCCAGCTCCGCCACCACCTTCTCTGCGCGCGCTACAGCCTCCTTCCAAGAAGCTCGCAGGCTCGCCTCCCATTCTCTTTAGGGGTCAGAACAGGGAAGGGCGGGGAGGGTGGGGATAGGGGCAGAAGGTGGGAACCATGTGGGTCGCATATGCATCCTCTTAGGCGCGCCCAGCTCCTCCACCACCTTCTCAGCTCGCGCTACAGCCTCCTTCCAGGACGCCCTGAGGCTCACCTCCCTCTCCTTGGCAGCTGACAGCTCAGCCTTCACGCCTGTGGGTCGGACGCACTGGCAGCACACGGGAGGGACAGGGAAGGTGTTGACTCCAGCACCCGCGGAAAAAGCTGGGTAGAGGGAAGAGCTCGCAGTTCCCTCATGGGCCGGTGCTACATCCTTTTGAGTCGACTCAAAAGTCACCTCAGAACTCGCAGTTCCCTCATGGGCCGGTGCTACATCCTTTTCAGCAGACTCAAAAGTCACCTCAGAACTCGCAGTTCCCTCATGGGCCGGTGCTACATCCTTTTGAGTCGACTCAAAAGTCACCTCAGAACTCGCAGTTCCCTCATGGGCCGGTGCTACATCCTTTTCAGCAGACTCAGCACACGCACCTGCCAGCAGCGTGTTAGCCTGCCGCGCCTGCGCCAGAGCAGTCTGCTCCCTCTCCCTCAGCGTCTCCATCATGCGAGCAAAGAACCCAAGTGAGTGATCACAAGGAACTCAGGTATACACCTAGACACACAAGATCAATTACCACGCACCTGCCAGCAGCGTGTTAGCCTGCCGCGCCTGCGCCAGCGCAGTCTGCTCCCTCTCCCTCAGCGTCTCCATCACGCGAGCAAAGAACCCAAGTGAGTGATCACAAGGAACTCAGGTATACACCTAGATACACAAGATCAATTACCACGCACCTGCCAGCAGCGTGTTAGCCTGTCTCGCCTGGGCTAGAGCAGCCTGCTCCCTCTCCCTCAGCGTCTCCATCACACGAGCGAAGAACTCGCACTTCCCATTGGCAATGCGCGCTGCCTCATGCGCTGCTGCCACCTCCGTCTCTAGAGCTGCCACGCGGGTGGTCAGATCCTTCACCTTCACCAGCGCTGCTTGCTCCTGGGAGGGGGAGGGGAAGGTAAAGAGAGGAATACAAGAGGTGGTAAGCGGTGGAGTGAGGTGGAGTGGGGTGGGGTGGGGAAAGAGGGGGTAGAGGCAATGCGCGCTGCTTCGTGTGCTGCTGCCAGTCACCACCGCTGCCAGGCACCACTGACTACAGCGCTGCCACGAGTTGATTTTTGCGTCGACTAAAAAATCATATGCTGCCAGCCACCACTGACTATAGCGCTGCCACGCAGATGGTCGAACCCTTCACCTTCACCAGCGCTGCTTGCTCCTGGGAGGGGTGAGGGGGAAGGGATGGGGTGAGGTGGGGCGAGATGGGGTGAGGAAAGCAAGGGTAAGGGGGGTGCTGCTGCCACCTCCGTTTCTAGCAATGCCACGCGGGTGGTCAAATCCTTCACCTTCACCACTCCCTGATTATCCCGCACAAGAACCCAACCCTTTCCTTCCTACACTTACACTTAGTGGGAATATGCACTTATTCCCACGAAGAAACTTCTTGCCACAAAGTGCATTTTCCCACTAAGCTACCTCTCATAACTTGTTCCACATTCAGCACTGATTGGCCTGAATTTTCCACGTGTTCCCACTCACCCGCTTCTCCACCACTTGCGTCATCTGTACAGCCGAAGCCACCTCACTACGCGCCGCCTTCTCCTTCTGCTCCAGCTCCTTCACAACCCCAGACAGGAACCCGATCCTCTCTTTCGCCTCAGCCATAGCCGCAACAGCCTCCTCTTGCTTCGCCCCCACATTCACCACTTCAGCCTTCAGCGCCTCTGCCTTTTTCTTTGCCTCCTCCGCTTCAGCCTCGGCTTTCCGCCGAGCCTCGATCAGTTCCGATTCTCTCTCCCGCAGCCCAGCCACCTCAGCTTCGAGCTCCCCGATCCTCCCCTGGGCAGCTTCGGCGGAGGCTTGGGACCACGCCTCGCGGTTAGCTGCGGCGGACAGCTGCGTGGCGAGCCTCGAGGCTCGGGCCGAGGCTGCCTTGGCGGTCTTTTCAGCCTCGGCGTGCTTGGTTCGGAGGGTCGTCAGCTGGTTAAGAAAGAAGGAGATTCGGTCCGTGGCGGCTGTTTCAGCTTCTGCTGCTGCCTTCTGCCTCGCCTCCAGCTGTTGAATCTGCGCCATCAGAATATTCACTTTCTCCTGGGGGGATGCCTGAAGGGATTAAAAAAAATGGAGAGAGGGGGAGAGGCAGGTGTGGGGAGGGAGAGGTGGGAGGTATAAGAGATTCGATCCGTGGCGGCTGTTTCAGCTTCTGCTGCTGCCTTCTGCCTGGTCTCCAGCTGTTGAATCTGCGCCATCAGAATGTTCACTTTCTCCTGGGGGGATGCCTGAAGGGATTAAAAAAAATGGAGAGAGGGGGAGAGGCAGGGGTGGGGAGGGAGAGGTGGGAGGTATAAGAGATTCGATCCGTGGCGGCTGTTTCAGCTTCTGCTGCTGCCTTCTGCCTGGCCTCCAGCTGTTGAATCTGCGCCATCAGAATGTTCACTTTCTCCTGGGGGGATGCCTGAAGGGATTTAAAAAAAATGGAGAGAGGGGGAGAGGCAGGGGTGGGGAGGGAGAGGTGGGAGGTATAAGAGATTCGATCCGTGGCGGCTGTTTCAGCTTCTGCTGCTGCCTTCTGCCTGGCCTCCAGCTGTTGAATCTGCGCCATCAGAATGTTCACTTTCTCCTGGGGAGATGCCTGAAACGTCAGGGAGATACGGAGGGGGGAGGGGGGAGGGCACAGGTGGGGAGTTTAGAGGTGAGGAGGGAGAGGTGGGAGGTAGGGGGGAATCAGTTTGAGCCATCAGAATGTTCACTTTCTCCTGGGGAGATGCCAGGAGGGATTCACGGGGAAAAGGAGGAGTGGGAACGTGATAATGGTGCAAGGCGACTCACACCGCGCGTCACTCCCTTCCTCCTGAGGTACGTGTTAAACGTGCAGACGGAAAGACGACGGCAGAACTTCAAGTCTTGTAAACAATAAAATGAGAGGGAGGAAGCGCACGTTCCGCGGAACTTTTTATGGGAGCATTAGAGGCGCATATCCCTCCACACCCCATCCCACCCCTCCTACCCTCGTCCCCCTCCCCCACTCTCCCCTCTCCCTTCCCCCCCCTTCCCCCGGACCCACTCTCGCCTCTCCCCCCTTCCCCTCCTCTTGCACCCTTTCTCACCCCCACTCACCGCTCCGCCCTCAATCTGTTTCTCTGCCTCCCTTGTTGCTCTCCTAATGGCAGCCTGGCACAACGCATACGGGGAGGGAAGGGAGGGAAAGAAACAGTGAGGCGCCTGAAAACTGGCATGATGCATACGAGGAAGATGTTGAAACAGGAAGAGAAGGAAGAGACAAGAAAAACAGTGCTTAAAACAAGAAAAACAGTGCTTAAAACAAGAAAAACAGTGCTTAAAACAAGAAAAACAGTGCTTAAAATAAGAAAAACAGTGCTTAAAACAAGAAAACAGTGCTTAAAACAAGAAAAACAGTGCTTAAAACAAGAAAAACAGTGCTCAAAACAAGAAAAAAAAGTGCATGGAGAGGAAAGGAGAGGAGGGGAGTGGAGAGGAGAGGAGAGGAGAGGCGGGCAAAAATAGGGAGGAGGAACACGTGGAAAAGACTGCCACGTCAGCAGCAAGGGCGGCTGAGGCTGAGCTGGCAGTACCTTGGAGAGCGCTTCAGAGAGCGCCACGTCAGCAGCCACCATGCGCTGGAAGCCCTCCATTGCAAGCTTCCTCTCTGCCGCCTGCAACAGCAGGAAAAAGGTGAAGGAGGGGGAGGTTATCAATTCATGTAAGATGGAGCATCAAAGAGAGAGGATCCACCCTCACACACACACACACACACACACACACACACACACACACACACACACACACACACACACACACACACACACACACACACACAAACCCTCCCTCCCTCTCTGCCTCCCCCCCAGAACCCACACCTCCACCGACCGCCCACCTTCCAGTCACTGGCGCTGCTGCCCCGCACGCCCTCGGCAGTGCGCTGCTGTAGCTCCGCCGCTGTCAGCTTTGTCAGCCGCTCACCCATCCTCCCTGCCACACGCCATACACAAATCCACCCCTTACACCCCAAGCCCCAAGCACCTTCCAGTCACTGGCGCTGCTCCCCCTGACCCCCTTGGCGATGCGTTGCTGCAGCTCCGCCGCAGCCAGCTTCGTCAGCCTCCCACCCCACACCCACAGCCCCACACACTCAGCACACCTATATCCGCACCAACGCACCTTCCAGTCGCTTGCAGAGCTCCCCCTGACGCCCTTGGCGATGCGCTGCTGCAGCTCCGCTGCCGCCAGCTTTGTCAGCCGCTGGCTGTTGCCCGCCGCCAGGTGCGTGTGGGTCTGTTCAAGCGCCTCTAGAGCCGGTCTGGCCGAGGGGCACACGCGCTTCAGCGCCGCTGCTGCTGCCTCCGCCGTCTCTCCCTTCACCAGGGAGAGGTATCTGTGTGCGGTGAGGGATTATGGGAGGGGGGGAGCCAGGTGCGTGTGGGTCTGCTCCAGCTTTTGAGTCGACTCAAAAGCAGACCCGCCGCCAGGTGCGTGTGGGTCTGCTCCAGGGCGACTAGAGCCGGTCTGGCCGAGGGGCACACCCGCTTCAGCGCCGCTGCTGCTGCCTCCGCCGTCTCTCCCTTCACCAGGGAGAGATACCTGTGCAGTGCAGGGATGGGCGGAGTGGGGGATAAAGGGAGGGGACTGAGCGTCTGGGATGAGTCACTGGCTATTGCCCGCCCCCAGGTGCGTGTGGGTCTGCTCAAGCGCCTCTAGAGCCGGTCTGGCCGAGGGGCACACGCGCTTCAGCGCCGCTGCTGCTGCCTCCGCCGTCTCGCCTTTCACCAGGGAGAGATACCTGTGCAGGGATGGGCGGAGTGGGGGATAAAGGGAGGGGACTGAGCGTCTGGGATGAGTCGCTGGCTATTGCCCGCCCCCAGGTGCGTGTGGGTCTGCTCAAGCGCCTCTAGAGCCGGTCTGGCCGAGGGGCACACCCGCTTCAGCGCCGCTGCTGCTGCCTCCGCCGTCTCTCCCTTCACCAGGGAGAGATACCTGTGCAGTGCAGGGATGGGCGGAGTGGGGGATAAAGGGAGGGGACTGAGCGTCTGGGATGAGTCGCTGGCTATTGCCCGCCCCCAGGTGCGTGTGGGTCTGCTCAAGCGCCTCTAGAGCCGGTCTGGCCGAGGGGCACACGCGCTTCAGCGCCGCTGCTGCTGCCTCCGCCGTCTCGCCTTTCACCAGAGGCAGGTAGCTGTGTGCGGTGGGGCATGGGGAGTAGGAGATGGGGCGAGATGGGGAGAGTAAACCGAGTCGCTTCGCTGGCTGTTGCCCGCTGCCACGTCCGTGCGGGTGAGTTCTTATAACGCTACTAAAGCGGGTCCTGCGGAGGGTCACACGCGTTTAAACGCGTTGACTAGTAAGACGCAACAGTGCACTCACCCCAGAGCAGTCAGCGCGCTGGCAGCGTTGGGCTGACAGCTGACGACCAGCACCCGATGCCCCGGCGCTGCCAGCTACAGCTTCTTTACCAGCATTGACCAGCATTGACCAGCGTTGACCAGCGTTGACCAGCGTTGACTGCACTCACCCCAGAGCAGTCAGCGCGCTGGCAGCGTTGGGCTGACAGCTGACGACCAGCACCCGATGCCCCGACGCTGCCAGCGACGCCACCACGCGCACAGCCTCGAGCAGCACAGGCACCTGCGGGGGTGGAAGGAGGGGGGACGGCGGGAAAGTATACAAGGGAGGGCGAGCAGTGAGGCTTGATGCTGCCAGTGACGCCACCACGCGCACTGCCTCGAGCAGCACAGGCACCTGGGGAGGAGTGCGAAATTGGGAGGGGGTGGAAGCGGAAAGGGAACGGGGAAAGGAGCGGGGGGGTTGGAACGAGAGGGAAGCTGCCTGATACTGCCAGCGACGCCATCACACGCACAGCCTCTAGCACAGCCGCCCGTCGCCACAACCCACGCGCGTTGGCGCCAACAGCAGCATGCTCCCCTACCGTTTCTACTGATAAGTCGAGTTTTACTGATGAGTTGACTCAAAACTCGAATTATCACACATGGCGCCAACAGCAGCATGCTCCCCTACCGTTTTTACTGATTGCACCGGAACGGCCGCCCCTCTCGCCTCAACCCTCGCCCGCTCCCACCCAAAGTTTTGCGTACCTGCGCATTCGCAGAAGCGTCTCCCTTCTCCCCAGCAGCACCAGCTGCTGCTGCTGCTACTGCGGCTGCGAAGGCTGCAGCTGCTCCTGCGGCAGCAACAGCTGCATGCTCCCCTAGCGTTTCCACTGATCCTACCCGCACCGCCGCCCCTCTCAATGCCCCTAGCGTACCTGGTTATTAGCAGAAGAGTCTCCCTTCTCCCCAGCAGCACCAGCTGCTGCTGCGGCCGCTCCTGCTGCAGCAACAGCAACATGCTTTTGAGACGTCTCAAAGCAACAGCAACGTGCTCTCCCCTAGCGTCTGGACCGATTCAACCGTTCCCACCCACTACCTTGCGTACCTGGTTATTAGCAGAAGAATCTACCTTCTCCCCAGCCGCTGCTGCTGCTGCTGCTGCCGCAACAGCAGCACTCTCCCCTAGCGTTTCCACCGATTCAACTGATCCCATTAACTGCCTCGCGTACCTGAGCATTGGCGGAAGAGTCTCCCTTCTCCCCAGCTGCTGCTGCGGCTGCTGCAGCAACAGCAGCACTCTCCCCAAGCGTTTCCACCGATTCCACCCGCACCGCCGCCCCTCCCGCCTCCGTGACTGCCGCCGCGACTGCCGGCCAATCAACGCCCAGCTCCCGCTCCTGCTGCTCCGTCTGCAGTTGTGGCGCGGGGAAGGATGGAAGAGGGGGTTGAGGAAGGAAGCGGAAAGTGAGTGAGAAGAGAGAAACCCCACAGATGACCGCTCGCCCGTAAGCACGGTCACCCCCTCCCGGCGCCTCCGTGACTGCCGCCGCGACTGCCGGCCAGTCAACGCCCAGCTCAATCACGTGGGGAAGATGGGAGAGTGGGGTGAGGGAGGAAGGGAGGAAAGTGGCCTAGAAGGAAGAAACTCCACAGATGATACCCCACAGATGATACCCCACAGATGATACCCCACAGATGATACCCCACAGATGATACCCCACAGATGATACCCCACAGATGATACCCCACAGATGATACCCCACAGATGATACCCCACAGATGATACCCCACAGATGATACCCCACAGAAGATACCCCACAGATGATACCCCACAGATGATACCCCACAGATGATACCCCACAGAAGATACCCCACAGATGATACTCGAACCGCTCAAAACAGCAACTTGCTCGCATTTGTAAAGTCGCTGGTTCGTGAGACTTCTTCTTTTTATTTTTTAGCGACAGTAGATGCACGTAATAAGCGCGCTTACCATAAGGGCCACGACGGCAGTGACGTCAGCAGCCGCAAGGACAGCCTTGGCGTCGGCAGCCGTCGCCAGCGGCGACCCGATCAACACGTTGTCGGCGACGTGGCACCACGAGATTGGCCAGTCGCCCTCGACTCTCGCCGACTCAGCTGTTATTGTGAGGATATCGAAAGTTGTGGAGACGGAGACGGGGGGGGGGGAGGAGGGGAATCAGCTGTAATTATAACGACAGCAATGGTTGTTGGGGCGGGGTGGAAACGGGCGACAATAAGCTGCTATTGTAAGGTTACCGAGGGTTGTAGGTGAACACGAGCGAAGAGGGAAGGTGGGGGCGAAGATTATAAGCAGAGTGCCACGACGGTAATCAATCGACACACACAAGACACCGCATCATGTGGCAAATAACCAATTACGCGGCACCCAGAGTTCGGACACCGCCGAATACCGCGATTTGTATACTAACGTTCCTGTGGTATCCGACGCCCACCGCAATCTTGTAGAAACATCGTGTACGTACTCAACATTTAAACAAACACTCAATTAATTGCTCTGTCAGGTATTTCTTTAGCAGATACGATATAACTTACTTTTATTTTGTAAGCATACCGGAATTTGATGCTTTTCCACGAATGCGACGAGGTAAAGAGCCTGAGTCCCGTCCCTGCTGCTTCTCCGCAATTGACGGGAACGTCGAAAGCTTCTTGAGCCGCGACTTCGCCTCCTCGCTCACATCCGCCATAATCACATCATGAACGCGATTCGCGGCGCCATCTCCGCCGCGCTTAGCGCCGGCGTTTCGTCGGTCCGTCGTTTCTCCGACAGCCGCGCGAGCTGCGCCAGGCTGGAATGCGGAAAGCCTCAGGAGATTAACTCCCACGCGCGGGGCCCGCGGAGGAGCCGCAATCAAACGCCGCGTTACGGGGATGAGAGTTAACGACGAAGCTAACGCGTGCGGCGGAGTGGCAATAGAGTTCGGCTTCACGGGCAATCGCAGCCCGGCGCTGGTGACTGAAAGAGTCGCCATCCTGATTGCTTCAGGGCAGAACAACTTGTATAAACGAATAGGAGAAGTACGTGGCCTTATTGAACAACTTCCAACCAGAAATGGCACACGCAAATAGCTGTGTGTGCTGTGAGGAGGTCTCAGATCTGTACTAGGATGACTGGAGCAGCAGGTGTAAGTACGGGCGGAAGCTGATACAACAGAAGCTGATGCGTTTCTTTCTCTCCTTTCCCTTGGAGGATGGAGGAGAAGAGACTGCCTGATTCATGGGGCATAATATTTGCGAATGTTTTCGACTGCTGAGTTACTGGCAAACGAATTCTCGAGCTGTCGTTGTCGAATCCAAACGGTAATATTCCCACAGGAAAATGGTAACCCGTTCTTGGCGAGTGTCTGCGAGCAGGTGCTGAGTAATAACTCCTGAAAGGACGGAGCCGCACTGATATGCTGCTGGGGGGGGGTTCTGAATGACGTTTCGATTCAGTTTGCTTTTTGGTGGGAAAAGCGGGCGATCCGACAGTTCCATCGTTCCTATCCAAAAGTGACGCAGACCATTTTCCTGATTGGGTTGTCAGAAAAGTGGCGGGAAGATTGCCTCACATCCGCTCGATTGAACTCCATCTACGGATTATAGCAGCCGTTGCGGAAAAACTGGATGTCTCACCCAGACTTTTGGGCCAGGTCATCAAAGGTTATGAATCTTCCACAAGGTGAGGACGGGGTCACGACCCGCACGTGTGAGACGCACAGATTTTTTCACCTCGCCCATGCATTGGTTAAGTATTCGGTAACCCGCAGGTTGCAAAAGTGTCAGGAATGGGATTCGAACCCATGCCCTTTCGGACCAGTACCTGAAACTGGCGCCTTAGACCAACTCGGCCATCCTGACATGTCTGTGATTTCAGCCTAAATAAATCAAAATACATTTGAGCTTCTCGAAGATTCCTTCTGCTTCTTAGAAGTTTTGTGGTAACTGACGTCACGCCTGACGCTCTGCAGCTGGTAGGGTCCTGGAAATTACTTTCTACTTTTCTAGAGTCCTACCCTGCTCCTCTTCCTCCACCCTTCGCTTCTATCGCCTTCGATACCTCCTGGCTCCAGCGGAAAGGCAGCAGGACTTGTGTCCTAGCATTTACCAGCAGCAAGGAAAGACAGTATATAAGCAACGTTCGCTGCCGGAGAATGGTACAGATCATTACATACTTCTCGCTGTTCCGATACAAACGCCGTAGCTCTAGACTTCCCAATCCTTACATCGACGCCATCTTCCATTCTCCAGGAGGAGCAGAAGAAGTAGATGTGATGAGACTACTATTTAAAGCCGCGCCGCCTTATATTTAAGAACCCCTGTCAGGTAGGCTCCGCATCTGCGCCGCCGCCTCATCTGCGCATCTCCCATTCTGTTTAAGAGCCCCTGTCAGGTAGGCTCCGCATTTCCGCAGTCTTCTTTTCCAATTCTCCTCTCGTCGCATCATCGCCGCGCCGCCTCTTCTAATATCTCCAGAGTTCGTTTAGACCACTTTCCTAATTTAGTAAAATGGCTACTTTTGTGTCGCTTGCTCCCATCCGCCCTGTCCGCGTGCTCTCGGCCCGCCATCAGCCGATTCGTCCTCAGGCCTCGCCGCGCGTTACGAGTTCGACCGAGCGTATTACCGGCGCGACTCGGCCTTGTCGCGCTCTTCGACATCTCTATCTCAATCTCAGAAGCGCGCCGATTCTTTCCTTAACCGCCGCGCAGTTCTGCCTGCTCGCCACGTCGTCATTCGCCACGTCAGCCTTCCCGTCTGTGGCACGCGCCGCGTCAAGGAGCGAATCCCTTCGAGATTCGCTGCCCGTTTGTGGGATCGACGATCAAGACAGCCCGTTCGCTGCGATAACGCCACGTGGCAGACATCCCGCGGTTGTTCAGACGCACTCGACGCGTACTACCTCCGCGGCTGCGGAAATGGCGGCGGATTCGGCGGCGGGAAATGCGGGGGACGCGCAGGCGGAGCTTCCCGTTATCTTCGTGTCGCATGGTTCGCCGATGTCGGCGGTGGAGGAAGACGAGACGTCAGCCTTCTGGCAGCGACTCGGGAAACAGGTGAGCGCTCTGCCTTCTGACAACAAAACTTTCCTACTCCATCCAGTCCCTGGCGGCACTGTCCACCCAGTCTGTCATTCATTTCATTACCAACCCACCCCACCCCACCCCACCCCACCCCACCCCACCCCACCCCACTCCACCACACCCCACACCACCACTCCCCCATCCTCCTCCCCCCCTCCCCTTGCCTGTCCTCTCAGGTCGCCTCCTTACCAGGCATCAAGGCCATCCTCGTTATAAGCGCGCACTGGGAAGCGGACGGGGCGGCAATTCGAGTGAACAGTGCCACCCAGCCCGCCACTATTCACGACTTCTACGGGTTTCCCAAGGAGCTGTACGAGCTACAGTATCCTGTCAAGGGATCACCGGAGCTGGCACAGCGTGTAGTTGAGGTAAGGTCTGGCATTTTCAGGCACCTCCGGGAAGGGGTTTTCTCAAGGAGCTGTACGCGCTACAGTACCCTGTCAAGGGGTCTCCACAGCTGGCCCAACGTGTAGTTGAGAAGTGAGAAGGGCGAAGGAGTGACCATCCGTCTATGGGTTTTCCCTTGAGCTGTACGCGCTACAGTATCCTGTCAAGGGATCACTGGAGCTGGCACAGCGTATGGTGCAGGTAAGAGAGCAGAACCAGTGACTTGTACGCGCTACAGTATCCTGGCTCAGCGTGTTGTTGAGGTGAGAATCGATTCTCACACGCCTCTGGGAGTGGGTTCCCCCGCAATTCCCCGAGAGCTGTACGAATCACAGTATCCAGCCAAGGGATCCCCGGAGGTGGCATGCTGTGTTGTTGAGGTGAGATAGTGATTCAGTATTGAAGCCAGTCATATAATGGGTTTTCCCGCAAGTTGTACATACTATCTTACCCTGTCAAGGGATCAAAAGGAAACAAAAGGAAACGGATACCCCCCTCCACTTGCAATATAATTCATTCAACTGCGCTATGCTCTTTCCTATTCTGCCCTCCCTGCTTGTTTCCCATCCCTTCCCCATCCCTTTCCCATCCTGGCCTGTCGACATCAGCTCCTCTCGGCTAATCACATCGAAGCTGAGCTGGACCCGTCCCACGGCCTCGACCACGGCGCGTGGGTCCCGCTGCGCTGGATGCTGCCACGTGGCAGCCTCCCAGTGGTCCAGATGTCGTTGCACGGCGGCAGCAGCCGGCAAGTGGGGAACGCTATAACGAGTATGCAGCGGCACGTGGAGCTGGGTCAGGCTTTAAGGCCGCTCAGGAAGGAGGGTGTGCTGGTGCTGGCGAGTGGTGGTGCTGTGCATAACTTAAGAGAAGTCGGATCGTACTTTGGGACGAAGAAGGTACGTGTTAGTTGAGTTGAGGCTATAATAAGTGTTGATGTCACTATCATCGTGCATTCGCTTACCATTCTTTTCCCCCCATTTTCTTATCCTTCTTTTCAAACTCGCTGCATTTTTCACATTTGCCTATCTGCATGAGCTGTCTTTCCGGCCCCACCCACCTTCATTCCTGCAGTGAGTCTCGGGTCTGTTTTTCTCTGAGTTTCTATCGGCCTCAAAGCTCTTTTTCATCTGTGCTTGTTGCAACGCCAGGTGGCATCCTACGTGGCACCCTTTGATTCGCTGCTGGACGAGGCAATCACCAAGGGCCAGTCGGATAAAGACATGCTCACCCGCCTCCTGGGTGCGTATACCTTCTTCTCGCTCCTTTTTCCCCACCCTTTCACTATGAAATGAGCGTGTTTCCCTCCATCTTTTCGCTCACTGCCTCTCCCTCTCTCTGGTGCTGCATCACTCTCACCAAGGCCATGTCACACAAGGGCATACAACCGTAGATCAGTGCAGATTAGAACGAGCTAAGGTTGGTGATCTGGGTCGAATCTACTCTTTTCACCGAGGCCATGTCAGGCAAGGGCATACTTACCCTCATCCCGAGTGCGTCGTTAGTCGAGAGCTAGTTTGGTGAAGGGAAATAGGGATGATATTTTAGTGTTGTTCCCCCCACTTTTTGTCCTTCCCCTTTACACTCAATCTCTTGTCCCTCTCCTCTTCCCCGTCCCTTCCTCCTTCCCTTCCCTCCTGGCAGCGCTCTCCTCCCACCCTCTGCTGCCCAAGGCCCATCCCACCATCACACACCTTCTCCCTCTCTACGCCGCTTCACACACAACACTCATTTTCCCATCCATCTCCTTTTCCCCCTCCCACTCGCCCCCACTCTCCCTGCAGCGCTCTCCTCCCACCCGCTCCTGCCCAAATACCCATCCCAACATCGAGCACCTTCTCCCTCTCTGCGTCGCTGCTGGTGCTGCCACTGGTGCCTCTGACGTTGATTCCGCTCCATATCCCTCCCTCTGTCCTCTCCTGCCCTCCCTCCCTGCAGCGCTCTCCTCTCACCCGCTCCTTCCCAAGGCCCATCCCACCATCGAGCACCTTCTCCCTCTCTACGTTGCTGCGGGTGCTGCCACTGCCAATACTGCACCTTCTAACGAGGATGGAAACGCCTCTGGAGGATGCGGATCTCAGCCGTCCGTTGCCCCACAGAAGCTCTTCGAGATGCACATCTGGACTCTCAGCAACGCGGCCTTCAGCTTTGGAGATATGCCTAAGGAGAAAGCAGCAGCTTAGGGTAGGACAATCAGTGTTTGAGGCGCCGGTCACTACAGCGTGCTGGTTGAATGCCTCAGGCGGAGGGGTGGGGGTTAGGGACATCCCATCACAGCCGTCCATTGCCCCTCACAAGCTCTTCCAGATGCACATCTGGACACTCAGCAATGCGGCCTTCAGCTTTGGATATATGCCAAGGGAGAAGCTAGAAGCATCGGCATAGACTGTTCTTTGGCATGTTAAATTGTGTATGCTCAGCGTTGCAAAAGGGAATGATATGCTTTTTATGTTAACTTGTTACGTGCCTTATATGTGTTGCTTTGTTATGTTATTAGAAAGTGTTCTTTCTCATTGTGTACTCATATATCTACCACTACCACTTCTGTAGACACAAGTATGCATGGAGCCATCCATAGTACCCACTAAATAGCTGCTTTGAAGCTGCCTATACTGAATGAGCAAAAATGCGCTTCTAACCGCAAGGAGAGCCGGCAAAATGAGAATTCATACTTCAGGGAACACTTAAACGCTGAAAACTGAGCATGTGAGGGCCTTAAGGACCTGTGACAGCACGTCAGCCGGTCACCCTATGAGGATAGGCAATATAACCACAAATACAGCTGCCAATATCCTGTACAAACTTGAGTGAGTGCCTGAGGCTGCTGAACACAAGGGACAGACAAGATTCGAGGGCAGGCAGAGGAGAAGGTGAGAGCATATTTGGATAAAAATTAGTGCCACGTTTTGAATTGACTTGACTCACAAGGTCAGCCCCTCTCCTCGCTTCACTTCTCGCTTCCTCTCCTCGCTTCATATCCCCAACTCACCCTCTCCTCACCTCCTTTTTCCCACAGCACACAGGTGGTCTGGCAGTTCTGCAGCTTTGACATATATGGCAGCAACACATGAAACCCCCTCTTCTTCTCACCACCTCCCTTTTTCACTCCCTCCCTTCACCCGCCTCTCCTCTCCTCAAGTCCTCACCTCCTTTCCTGTAGCACGGGGCACAGAAGGTCGGGCAGTTATTGCAGCCTCAACACATGGCAACTGAACATGTGCCTCTCCTCTCTGTACCACCTCACTGCCTGTCTGCACCTTCCTTCTCACTTCCTCTCCTAACTTCCTTTCACTCGCAGCACGGGGCATAGAAGGTCGGGCAGCTATTGCAGCCTCGATACATGGCAGCAATACATGTGCCTCTCCCCTCTGTACCACCTCACTGCCTCCTGTCTGCACCTTCCTTCTCACCCCAAACCCCACCTTCCTTCTCACTCCCTCTCCTCACCTCCTTTCCCATAGCAGGGCGCACAGAAGGTCGAATAGTTCTTGCACCCTCTCACACACATGGCAGCAACACATGAAACTTCCACTTCTTCTCCTCACCTCCGTTTTCCAGTCCCTCCCTCCCCTCACCCCCCTCTCCTCACCTGCTTTCCCGCAGCACGGCGCACAGAAGATCGGGTAGAAATTGCACATGGCAGCAGCACATGTGGCTTGCTATCCTCTCTCGCATCCTTCGCACTCCCTTCCATCACCTCGACTCACTCCCTCTCCTCACCTCCTTTCCCATAGCACGGAGCACAGAAGGTCGGGCAGCTCTTGCAAAACGCGGTGGTGCTTTTCTGGGGCACCACGCAGTTTCCATCGGTCGGGCAGGACAGAAAATTTCTGTCGTAGTCCCTGTAGCAGCGGGAAAGGAGGGAATAGGCAGGACCGAAATGAAAGGAGAAACATAATCAGCATAGGTGCTGGAGAAGGGGCAGAGGAGGTGGAACACTCACAGCAGAGTGCACACATGAATAGAGAAGCGAGCAGAGAGCAGAGGACATAGATAAGAAAGCACTCACAGCAGGGTGAGCTTGGTGAGAGAGCCGAGTGTGGCAGGCAGGATTCCTGCCATCCGGTTGCCTGACATGTTGCTGGGGGATGGGAAACAGAGGGGTGCAGGGCGGTTGCAGTCGGTGAGGATGGGTGTGATGGTGTTACCAAGGGTGGCTCTTCAGCTTGACAAGGTTAGGTTACACATGCTGGTGGTCTGGATTGGCCCCTGCAGACGGTTGTTACCGCATCACACCTCGTATCCCCACATCACCACCACCACTCACAGGGTCGTCAGCTTGAAAAGGTTAGGCTACCCATGCTGGTGGTTGGGATTGGCCCCTGCAGCTGTTCGGTTGGAGATCATTCCTCTCACCCACCTCTCGCCTTACTCATTATCCCCATGTTACCGCATCACACTCCTTATCATCGCACACCACCACCAATCACAGGGCTGTCAGCTTGACAAGATCACCCATGGTAAACGGAACTGGCTCCTCCAGGCGATTGTTACCGCATCACACTCCTTATCACCGCACACCACCACTCACAGCGCTGTCAGCTTGACAGGGTTGCCCGTGGTGGACGGGACTGGCCCCTGCAGGCAATTGTTACCACATCACACCTCGTCTCACCACACACCACCACTCACTGCGCAGTCAGCTTGACAAGATTGGCCATGGTGGACGGGACTGGCCCCTGCAGGCAGTTGGCACTCATTCCTCTCACACGCCTTCCGGCCTGCTCATTATACCCTATGTTACCGCATCACACCTCGTGTCACCGCATCACACCGCGCACAACCACTCACAGCGCCGTCAGCTTGACAAGGTTGCCCATTGTGGACGGGACTGGCCCCTGTAGGCGATTGACGCCCATTCCCCTGGCAGAAGGGAGGAAAGGTGTGCAGGGGGCGGGGGAGGAGGGATGATGGAAGGGGGATGTATGGTGTTAAGGGGGGGATATGGTGGAATGAATAGGCACCTACAGGCGGTTGAAGCTCATCAATTTGAGTGTAGTGAGGTGTATTTTGAGGCGCCTCAAAATACACCTCACTATATGGTGGAATGAATCGGCACCTACAGGCGGTTGAAGCTCATTCTTTTGATAGACGGGGAGAGAATGAGTGTGAAGGGGGAGGGGAGCGACGGTGTATAGGAAGAGGGGAGCGGATGGTAAAGATGGTGCAGGTACAGTACAGGACTCGTTTCCCTTAGCATAAACGAGGAGGGGTTAAAAAAGGTTGGAGGAGGCGAAAGTAGACTAGTAGTGGTGAGTCACAGGTAAGGAGGCTGACTCACAGACATGAAATGCTGACTCACAGATGCTGGGTGCTGACTCGCAAACACAAGATGCTGACTCACAGGTACTCGAGGCTGACTAGGTTCATGATGGAGTCGGGTATGAATCCATTGAAGCGATTCTCCGACAGCAGGCTGCAGGGGAAAGAAAAGGAAGAGGGGATTAAGGGAAGAACGGAACAAGGGAGTGGAGGAACGGGCGGGCTTGGCCTGACTAGGCTTGTTATGGAGCCGGGAATGAATCCGCTGAAGCGATTCTCTGACAGCAGGCTGCAGGGGGAAGGAAAGGAAGAGGGGAGTAAGGGAAGACGGAAGGACGGGAACCTCAGAATCAAGGAGGGAGACGGGCAGACAGCCGTGGGCAAGGGAACAAGGGAATCAAGGGAATCAAGGGAACAAGGGAACAAGGGAACAAGGGAACAAGGGAACAAGGGAATCAAGGGAACAAGGGAACAAGGGAACAAGGGAACAGGGGAACAAGGGAACAAGGGAACAAGGGAACAAGGGAACAAGGGAACAAGGGAACAAGGGAACAAGGGAATCAAGGGAACAAGGGAATCAAGGGAACAAGGGAACAAGGGAACAAGGGAACAAGGGAACAAGGGAATCAAGGGAACAAGGGAACAAGGGAATCAAGGGAACAAGGGAACAAGGGAACAAGGGAACAAGGGAACAAGGGAACAAGGGAACAAGGGAACAAGGGAACAAGGGAACAAGGGAACAAGGGAACAAGGGAACAAGGGAACAAGGGAACAAGGGAACAAGGGAATCAAGGGAACAAGGGAATCAAGGGAACAAGGGAACAAGGGAATCAAGGGAACAAGGGAACAAGGGAACAAGGGAACAAGGGAACAAGGGAACAAGGGAATCAAGGGAACAAGGGAACAAGGGAACAAGGGAACAAGGGAACAAGGGAACAAGGGAACAAGGGAACAAGGGAACAAGGGAATCAAGGGAACAAGGGAACAAGGGAACAAGGGAACAAGGGAACAAGGGACAAGGAACAAGGGAACAAGGGAACAAGGGAACAAGGGAACAAGGGGAACAAGGGAACAAGGGAACAAGGGAATCAAGGGAACAAGGGAATCAAGGGAACAAGGGAACAAGGGAACAAGGGAATCAAGGGAACAAGGGAACAAGGGAACAAGGGGAACAAGGGAACAAGGGAACAAGGGAATCAAGGGAACAAGGGAACAAGGGAACAAGGGAACAAGGGAACAAGGGAACAAGGGAACAAGGGAATCAAGGGAACAAGGGAACAAGGGAACAAGGGAACAAGGGAACAAGGGAACAAGGGAACAAGGGAACAAGGGAACAAGGGAACAAGGGAACAAGGGAACAAGGGAACAAGGGAACAAGGGAACAAGGGAACAAGGGAACAAGGGAACAAGGGAACAAGGGAACAAGGGAACAAGGGAACAAGGGAACAAGGGAACAAGGGAACAAGGGAACAAGGGAACAAGGGAACAAGGGAACAAGGAACAAGGGAACAAGGGAATCAAGGGAACAAGGGAACAAGGGAACAAGGGAACAAGGGAACAAGGGAACAAGGGAACAAGGGAACAAGGGAACAGGGAACAAGGGAACAAGGGAACAAGGGAACAAGGGAACAAGGGAACAAGGGAACAAGGGAATCAAGGGAACAAGGGAACAAGGGAATCAAGGGAACAAGGGAACAAGGGAACAAGGGAACAAGGGAACAAGGGAACAAGGGAATCAAGGGAACAAGGGAACAAGGGAACAAGGGAACAAGGGAACAAGGGAACAAGGGAACAAGGGAACAAGGGAACAAGGGAATCAAGGGAACAAGGGAACAAGGGAACAAGGGAACAGGGGAACAAGGGAACAAGGGAACAAGGGAACAAGGGAACAAGGGAACAAGGGAACAAGGGAATCAAGGGA